TGAGATATTCAACAGTTGAATGGGAGTTATAAATGGAAGCCTTATCTTGGTGAATCCATATCCCATTGGCCTCATTTTCAGATGGAAATCCTTCTTGATTATGTTGTTTGCTGCTGACTGGGACATGTGGATAATTTTGGTCACTAATGTTTTTGTTCATGGAATTTCACTTACATTGTACATTGCTTCTCACAACTGGGTAGGACTTGTTGCAGGTCTCTTTCTGTTTGGTCCTCGTTACCAAGTTGATCCATATTCCTTTGTTTTCCAATGCCATTAAGTGCAAGTGATATTTCCATTTTGGGAATATCTAAATTCCCATTATGAACACATCTTTATGATATGAATGTATGAATATTTTGCATCAGAAAGGGCTGTTATATATCTTTCCCAAAATTGATCAGTTTTGGTGACATCACACAACCTACAAAATTCAAAACAGTGTTAAAATGTAATTCTGATATATACCATTCCTCAGCGACTTTATATCAGGTGTGGGCATCATGTGTCTTGCTGATTTGCATGTTTTAATATAACATACTCAACTTCTGTATATTAAATGGTAGATTGACTACCACAGATTTCCAGTTAATTAGTAGTTATAAATTAATGTATTTTTGTTGTTTCTTGCAAGATGTATTGAAATTTTAAGTTGTTGAACTCTGATATAATTAAAGGGTTGTGGAGCCTAGACTGATACATATACATACATACACACACATATATATATATATATATATATATAGAGAGAGAGAGAGACTTGATTTAGTGTATCAATATCAAACTGCAGATTTAGGACTTGGTGAACTTTGTTGAAATTTTGTTTATTCTGTTCATACCATTCATCAGTAGTTTCTGATACTAAATTATGCAGAATAATATTTGAATGAAGTACAATGAGAGATGATAATGTTCTTCAACTTATGCTTTAACACTTTCAATATGGGCTTGATCAATTTGACCGACCATGTGACATTTTTGTACTCATTTAGAGTCTTTATATATTTAATACTTATAACTCTCATTATAGTGGGTATATCTTCATGAAATTTGGCAATCTTTCACATACAAAAACTCGTATTTCTTAGTGAATTATTTTTAATAAAGATTTGTCCATGAATATATTGAGTATTTGTTTTGAATAATCCTCGTGAAAAGTAATTTTCATGTTAAAATTAAAAATACTTTTCCTCATTTCAGAAATCTCAAATTTCCTTTGTGTAATCCCTAAAACCTCCTAAATGCATTTCAACCGTTTTTATTCAGTAAAACATTATAGTTTATCTGTTATTTTCTCTATCCTATCTCAAAATGGGATTGGTCAATTTGACCAACCTCGTAACCACCAAAAAAAAAAAAATCAAAATAAACCTAAATTACCCATTTTTCTTTCAAGAATGACTTCAAATTGTAACATGAAACAACATTTGTTTATCCTAAGTAGCTCTAAGTTCATAACATTATACATTTATTTATAATTGAATTTGATTGTTTTATTGCCCTTTGAACCTTGTCTACTATCCGTGCCATTATAAGTTGTAAATCACTAGGTGAACGTACAGCTCACATTACGCTATCAAATTATATTACCCACGAGCTGCTCGCACGTGCCTTGTGAACCATTTTAATTATATTATTATTACTTATTTTACCTAATCTACTCTTAAACAACTTAAAAAGATCTTTATTTTTAGATTTTAGTTACTTTTACAATAATAAATAAAGAATAAATATGAAAAACAAGAAATAAAGTACTTACCCAATCTACTTTTTCCGTGCTGTTGGGTTTCGAGGAGAGTTAACTCTAATTTTTTATACTATAGATAGTAATGCACTTAATTTTTATTTAATTAAATAATGCACCAAAGAATATAGACTAATAACATGCAAAAAGTAGTCAAATTCATCCAAGCTAGTCATAAACTTTCCCATGGGAATTATGTTGCTACTATGAGCGAAATTGACGATTATCTGTTCAGAACACAACGTTATGAAATACATCATTTGATAGATGTAAACCTTGACTTTCTATTGGTTATAGGTAATGTATAATGAAATGTAAGAGAGAGAACTATCAACGAATTGTGAAAGAGAGGATGACAGCTGGGTGTGGCAGGAGGGGTCTGATTTTCTATTCAATAGCTCTGTAACCAAACAAAATTGAAGACTATAAATATTATGGTTGGTTTGAGCAATAATGATTTTATAGAGAGTAATTTACATTTAATTTTATACATTTTTGAGGGGTGATGGATAAAATAGGGATGATGACAGCCTAAAACAAAATGTGTCACGTTGGTCACACTAGTGGAAATTCATGATTTTTTAAAATATTACCTCGTAGAATTAAAACTTCAAACTTGTATACTATTAAAATATGGATTATTAGCTTAGATTTTATGCTATTCTAATTGGTATAACGTAAATAAAAAAGTAGTATAATAACATTTTGAATGTAAGACACTAGAACTTTGTGTCATGAGCAGTTAAGGGTACCCGGGGCGATAGGGTTAAGCTTTTATATATTTTATCTTAATACATAAAGATGCTGTGGCAACTTCATTGCCCAAAAAATTGTTTTATTGTTGACACCCCTATTTTGTACTCTCTCAGATGGTGAATACATTTTTTAGTTTTCATCTTAATAAATTTGGATGAATTACCAATTTATGAACTACCAAAAGTAAGTTGATGTAAAGCATATCTTGATTACAGCTATATGCAATGCAACTAATAAATTCATAGCAAATATTTGAATTGTATTTAATAAATAAAAACATATACTTGAATACTGTATTAATTAAAATATGTTGTAAACTAGAATATATTTGACTAGGAATTTCTTAATCTAATGGAATTTCTAGTTTCGTGAAACATGTTCAACAACAAGCATAATATTGTTGGTACCTGTATTACACCTGTGTAGGACTGATAAGATTTTAGTAATGCGACATCACGAGATTAGAAAGTTACAACTTTATGCTTCCTTGTTTCTTTAATGATTTTTATTTAAATGGCATTGTAGAAACTTTTAACTATGCTGAATTTTCATTTAGTTTATGTTCCAGGGAGTGACTTTTTTTTTGTTTTATTTTTTGACTTAATGGAAAATTTAATGGGATAAAACAGCATTTATTCATTAGGTGTTTTTAAACTTTTAACAAAGTGATATAAACTTTGTTACTGTATATGGTAACATGTTTTTTGAGGAATAACTTTATTTTGTACATTCTGATTACAAGTTATAGCTTCTACAGTAAGGAAGAATATTTCTTAAAACAGGTATGATGTTTCGATCATTGGTGTGATCATTCTCAAGTATCATCACACCAGTGATTGAAACATTGTACCTGTTTTAAGAAATATTCTTCCTTATTATAAAAGCTATAACTTGTAAGAAAAAAATTGCTTATAGTCAGTATTTAATCTCAAAATGAAACTATTTCTTTTGTATAGCTATAGTTAATATGGCATATTTACACCTCCACAATATATTTTCAGGAAAAGTTTATAAAATTATTTCGTAGTTTCTTTTTATTATTGATTCTACTTAAAGCCAGTTAACCATTGATAAGACTGAGTGAAAACAGAAATATCAACAATAAATCAAGCAAGCCTGTTTAGCCCCTACAGAAAAATATATACACAATGATAGAAAAATGGTTAAGTGACAAACCTGATAACAATCATTGTAGCTGAGAAACTGTATAAACTGATAGATGAAGTGATACTGATTAGAAATGTATTGTTAAATAGAGAAACGTTTTTTAAATATATTATTTTGTAAGCTACCAGGTGACATAATAATCTAGACCTTTGATATATTAAAAACATTATTTATTTGTGAATCAAATCTACCTGGAAACACTTATGCATTTAGTTTCATTACCATTAATGTTTTCTGCTGATGCTGTTTTATTTGGGCTTCATTATGTATCAACGTTTCAAGAAGTTTGGTTAAACAGTTATTTTTACACATTAAAATAATCAGTTATAAAGCCTGACTGAAATCATTGCCAAAAAAGGAAAATTTTGACAATTCACAGCAAGTGATATAATTGGTAAATACAATCATACCTTACTCTTGGTATTTCTTGGTGTTCATAATATTTTTCTCTATCATTCTCAAGTATACTTTCATGATGTAGAAGAACAAGCCTCTTGACTATTTTTCTGGTTGTTCTACTTTGAGATGACTAGCATATACAATTTGTCTTCCAGCATTGTCTCCCTTATTAAATTCTCAGTTGACATCTGCTACTTCTTGTTTCATTTAACCATCCTGTTTAGTCAAATGTAGAAGTAAGAATGTGAGTCTTGGCCCATTCAGCAGCAGGATTTCACCACCAGGACTTCTGGGGGCCATCTTGGATCATTTATACTTCTGTGGGATTATTGGCTTCAGGATCCTTAAGTTTGACAAATCGTTCAGTTTGATCTTTACCATCTGTTATCTGTTTCATCATCACCCTCCTCTTTCTTTTCAACCATTGTTATTTTTGTCTTTATTCTGATCCAATTCACTTACATTTTCTGGATCAGTAAGTGTCAGACTTATTTAGGAAGGGGCAATCAAAATAATTTCTCATGCATCTCCATGTTTTTAACTCCAATTTTTTTTAGTTCCCATGAGATTAGGGATTAGAAACTTATCATGGACACAACTCAGTTGTTTACCTGGAGACTCTTCATTTCAAAATAGAAAATATGAGAATGTTACATCAAATTCTTTGTCAGTGTCATTGGATGACAAAAGTGGATATACAGGATGCTTGATCAGACATGCCTTCATTTTCTTCATTTTTGGCACTGGAAGGTAATTTACTAGTTCAATGCCCTTCTCTTCAGTTTGGCCGTGGCTCATTACATTTTGTCAAAAAATTGACAGCATGTGTGTGTGTGTATATTATGTATACATGTATAACATGCTTTTTTAAATGCTTAATTATACTATATTTATACCTTTGTTCTCAGATTACTTGTCACTGATTATCTTGCAGGACATCAGAAGCACAAATGTAGCTAATATTTGTATGGGTCTTCAAGCAGTCTCTTATGTGGTAAATACAGAGATGGTTCCTGCTGTATCTTTCATGGTGGAAGAAAAGCTAAAGCATGCACAGTATGTTATAACTTACTTTGTTTTCAGTTTAGAGTGGATTCGTATGTTTGGTACTCACCATTATCATAATGATAAAACTGTTTTAATAATTTCTAAGGAAAAATTTTAAATGTTAATTTGAATTTTTTATTTATATTGAACTTTTGGAAGTTGAGTATTAGTATATATTTTGCATAAAGTATATTATTTCAAAACTATAATCTGTATCTTTTAAAAAAAGGCACAAACATTTTTTATAAACACTGATTTGTCTTCTGTACTGCTGTACATGTAATCATAAACTTTGTCAATTATTTTGTGTATTAATATAATTTGATGTATTTTTTATTTTATATGTATATATACATTTTTAGTCTTTCTTTCATGTGTCATATTTCTAATCCATTTTAGACTACATCAACAATCTATTTTTTTCAAACCTAGCATCATAAGATTGTTTGCAACTATCTTATTTTTCTGTTAGATAAGAATTGATGTTGTTCAAAACTATAATATACAGTTTGCTATCGTTTGAGCTTTATTTCTGCCGTTTTAAACTAATGACATATATGTTTCATATTACAACATGTGTTTAAAACTAAAAGGTTAAGAAAATAAGTACTAAAATTAATTGAGAGTTTCGACACCCTTGAGCATTCATTTGAATAAAACTCGCCCAAATAGCTTAGTTTAAGCATGAAGGCTTATAACACTAAAATTTGGGGCTCAATCCCCATGGTAGACATAGCAGATTGCTTAGTGCTTAACAAACAAACAAAAAAACATTTCAAAAATAGTGTAATATATATATGCGTGTTTGCAGTGTATATATAAACATATGAATAGTGTATATATAATTATTTGTGTGTTGTGTATTTTTAATTACATATTCTACTAATTTGTTTCTGAATTTATTTTAGTTTCACTCAGATTCTGTCTTGTCTGAGTGCAATTTGATTTTCATATTCAGATTAGAAATAATTTTTTTAATTTTACAGTTTTTGAATTTCACTTGCATAACCTATACAACCTTCTAAATGAAAATCAAAAATTTTTAAGGTAAATATTTATATTTTATTTTCTT